TGCTATTATTTTTAAGTAACAAGGTTTATTTTCACCATATCATAACTATTATTGAAAAACGCATTTGTCTAACAGGTGGAGTTATGGAGTTCCCCTTTACGAGATTTTCTTACCAAGCTAGGTAGCGGCTTGCACCTTCGTAGTTTGTTTACTGCGCCTTTCCATAACACGCGACATCTGCTCTATCAAAGGTCACTTGCTTCGACAGTCATCTTAGCGGCCCTTTCAGGGCGCAGAAGCTAACTTCAATGTTTTCAAAAGTCATATCTGTGGGATGTGAGTGGTAGATTTCGATCCGTATTGTTAATTTCTTTTTTTTCAAAGTTCGCTAGTGGTCGTCGTAATTATGATTTACGTAAGGCAAAAAAACTATCGTTAGTTAGGGTTTGAACTTCGCGTGTTGTTGAAAGGCACGGAAATATATGTAATAAAGGAGGTTACAGTCAATTTGGTGGAGTAGCTCTGTTGCGGTTTTGCACGTGGAAGCTGGAGCGTCCGAGTTCAAGTTCCTTTCCGACACCCTAGCTGGAGTTTCTTCATCATAGACCCGACTTCAACTCTTCGACCAAGTTTGTAAGATGGCTAACTGGCCTGCTTCCTCTCAAATAGCATTCATAATTTGTTACATTCTGTTTTCAGTATTCGTTTCTAATGTTTATTTTGTTATCCCCGAATGGCCTCTCATTAGGAGAGGATACTTAATAATTTTTTTTTTTTTAATAGCAATCATTCTACCTAAATTGCTGCAGAAATAGTTACAATTTTGAGATTGTGTTTATTTTGCATGGAATTCGAATCGAAGTCTTGATGTCTTCTGAAAAATGTTCCCTTCCAGGTGGCTCATCATATCCACGGATGGATGGCAGAAAAATTGTAAACTGGCTACAGCAAGGACACAGAATGTCGAAGCCACAACACGTGGATGAAAAATTGTAACCAGCTCTTCTTTTTACCTTTTATGTCAACATTATTGTTGAACATGAAATTAGTTGCAGTAGTTGCTTGAGTTCTACCATTTAATAGAATT